GGGGGGGGGGGCGTGGGGGGGTGGGGAGCTATAGGGGTCTGAGCCGTGTCCTAGTAGAAGTGGCATCTGCATGGATATTTATTTTCCGAGGTTCAGGCAGGTCTGACGGGGCACGCCGGGGCACCCGGGAGGTCCCTGCCCGCTGGGGAGCCTGCATTGCCGGGCACCGGTCCTCCCTGGCTCCCAATTGCGCGCAGCCGAGCCGAGCCGTCATCGGCCTCTTTCTGGAGAAACTAGACCTGAATCAATAGCTCTGGACGCATCAGAACAGTGGAGTGCTCATTTCCCAGGGTGGGTGACTCGTGAAAAAGGGGTGGGGACGGGTACCCCACACCTCCTAGTCCTCTCGCCCTGAAGCGCCTCCGAAAGTGAGCAGCAAGAAGTCACGAGTGAGGGGCGGGAGCCCACGAGGGGAGCCGCCTTGCCTCAACTGAGCGTCCCGGACGGGCCAGGAGCTTGGCTGGCAGGGGCAACGTGCGAGTTAGGGGGAGTCTGGGGGCTGTCCTGAGGTGGGAGCTCCTGCACGGCCTCCTGTGAGCACATGTCCGTCCCTGGGAAAAGGCAGCAGGAATTAACCGCATGGGACCCCCTTCCCGGCTTCCTTTCTCTTTGCGCGGCCAAGCTCGAGCTCCCGGAGGTCTGGGTTGTAGCCCTGGTCGGGGGCGATGGGGATATGCCCTGTGCACTGCTCTGTGCTCTATTCCCTCCGGACCGCGGGTACCACCGAGCCCTGCCCGCGCATCCCTGGCCGGCTTTCTCCTCTCCTCACCCCCCGGTGTAATATTCCCAGGGCATGCTCTCCACAAGTCACCCTCGCTCGTCTGGAGAGCAAGGAGGCCTTTGCATCCCGAGCGGGATTAGGGCCAGTATCTGTCCACACCCGGGCTGGCTGAGAGCCGCGGGGGCAACGCTAGGATCCCTTCCCTTCTCCCCCGCCGTCCTCCCCTGCTCCGCTGACGGGCGGAGAGCGTGGCACCACGCACCGCGCTCCCTGTGCCCCAGGACTGCGTGACTTCGTGCGACCGGTCTTCGGTGTCACCTTAAACCGCGTCGCTTTAATGATGTTTGTGGGCAACAATTTCAAAGGGCCAAAGTGTGTTTGCGTGGTTTAAGGTCACATTTGTGAGTCGAAAGATGTCACACAACAGACACAACAGTTAGAAGAAGCTGACAAACAACAGGAAACGGTTCTATTTTTAGGGTGTAATAGGAAGTTAATGTAAGCGGTCAGAAGCTTCCTATATGCCTCCGAGCACCTTCTGTTCCATTCATTCATTCGCCCATTCATTCATTTATGCATTCAACAATAACAACAGGGAAAAACAAACATTCCCGTTCCGTTTCTCATCCCGTCCTTCCCGGGAAGTCCTGCAAGGGTGGGCTCTGCAAGCGGAGTCCCTCTTTCGGGTGGTTTATCTTGTTTTTTGGTTCGAGGGGAGAGGTGAGATATCTGACGGCGTTCCTCAGGCGAGCTTCCTCCTGAAGGAGTGTGCAGGGACTGAGGGCTGCATTCTGGGATTATATATCCTCTCTTCCCAATTTACACCAGAGTCTGGGAGAGTGCTTTCTGTCTCACACCGGTCAGAGTAGCTGTGAAAGTCCGAGAGAAATTTATTTCAGGAATTACCTTGTTTTTACGTGAGAAGCCCGTGTACCCCCGTGAAGCAGATCTTGTAACAGGATTTTATGTCAGAGAAATGTTGGT